ATTTGCGGTTCGCTAGAGAGACGCGCAAATATCAGGAGGGATTACGTGAATGAGGTTCCAATACTACCTGGCATGCAGTACCATCTCAAGGTACTTAATGCACGTCAAAATACAGCCCTTCGGATGAGCAGGCTTTCGACCGTTTGCAAAAGTCACATGCCGTGAAGTAGCAACATCAGCCGCGCTACATTTTTCGGCATGGCACAACTACAAGTGCCCCCCGTATCACAGGTGGTCTTGCGCCAAATTATATGGCGGTTAGTGTTGAGGCTAGGGTTAGGGATATGATAGTTAGTTTAAAATTTAGGGTTTAAGTAGGAAGGCTTGACGCTAGGGGTTAGATTGGAGTTAGATCTAGGGCTAAAGTTTGGACACGGCAGTGCATAGTCCCTGGAATCTAACACATGTCCACCTGTAGTAAGGACGGTGGTTACAACCCTACCTATACATCCTCCTAACTAAGCCTCCATGCCTCTTTAAACCCAATCATATTTTGTGGAAACAATGTACACGGGTATCCTTGATTAGGCTCCTCTTTATTAAAATGACGTCTTAACTAAATTTCCTACTCAGTGAAGAGGTGTCCAGTGGTTGTAAAACTTCGTAATCAGGCGACAGTCTGGGAAGCGAAATTGTCATTAAGCAGCCCGTATCTTCGGGGTTAACAATTTTGTTTTTGGAGCAAACAAAATAAGCTACAAATATTGACAAAATATAGCTAATGCATGGTACCTTTTTAATGGCAGAAAGGGGTAAGTAATTTTCTCAAAATGAAAAGTATATGGCATGACATTTGAGAAGCATGGGCGCAAATGGGACAGAAAATTCATTTACATTGATGAAAAGTTGACAAACTCTTTATGACCGACAAGATTATAATTTAAGGAGGGTGTAAATTCCCACGAAAGGAAAACTGTTAAGCTCAGTCCTGTGCAATCTTTTTGCAAAGTATGACTAGATCTAGACAGGTACAAAACATCGGTAGAAACTTCCACACTATTTAAGTTACCACTCCCCAGCGAATGGGGGCTTTTGCAGGTGGCGGTAAATTTGCTCCTTCAAGGCCAAAATCCCAGTGCGTATGAAATGCACTGGAATTAAGTGACATGAAGTCGTCATTGCAATCTCACTCGAGTAATCCTTTCTAACCGAAAAGATTTTTGGTAGTTGTGGTCGACACTTTAATGAGTTGGGTCACCCTCTGTAGATTTCGTGTGTTTCTTAGCGGGCAATTTTTAAATGCTTCAGGTGCTCACGCGGTTGGACCGGAGAGAACTGCGACCAATGCGTGAAATATCCTGGCTGTCAAAAAGGAGTCTGTGATGATGCCCCCTTCACATGTCGCTGTTTGCCCAACTGGGGAGGACCATTCTGCGACCAAGGTAAGCCCTGCACATGTGTTTCTAACTCAAGTGTAGGGAGAATTACCTTCGCTGAAATTAGGGTAGTCTGCCATGTTTCAAAGGCTTTGTTTCGCACCCCTTGATGACCGCCTTCAAACTTGCTTTCAGACCTGGACTACTGCAGACGACACAAGCCCTGTCTACACGGTGGAATTTGTCAAAATACCAATGCTACACATCCGCAATTTCGGTGCATCTGCCCCCGCGGATACAGAGGAGAAAGATGCGAAGAGAGTACGTCCGTTGGCGGAAGCCAGTACCTGCCTTCTTTTGTGATTTGTGCAGAATGAAGACATGAAAGTTCATAGCTGTGGAGATTACACGTGTAAACGGATGGCAAAATACGTCCGCAACTATGGGTTTTCGCCAGTCGCTCATGTCCAAATGGTCAGAGAACGGAATGAATGTAGGATATGTGGCCAATGTACTCGAATAAGAGGGCTAGTGAGGGTGAGACATTGCCCTAGAGACTCCGCAAAGCCTTGATGTAAGTGACAGAAGTAATGCCGTTTGTTGGGATAAATCAGTAGCGACAGTGATGCATTTTGGCATTTTTAATTCCCTCTTGCTTTGGGGTTCATTGACGGCATAGAAATGCATGCGTGAAAGCAAACCGTAAAATTCAGAGAAAACTATTTGATGCCGTCAAAGAACGGCTACGAAAAATGTACTGAGCTGGAGGTTGATATGTTGAAAATGCGAATTTGGAATCTCCTTCCAGAGTCCTCTATCAAAAAACCGTAGGTGGACTAAATTCAAGCACGACAGCATATCTCAAGATACAAATTCGTCCTTCGGCAAAATTCTCTGTTTGGAAGCATTGCGAGACCATCTTAGCTTGAACAGATTTGGCAGTACCAACGCGTCAGTGTGGTGACATAGTCTACAGATCGAGGACGATATAACTTTTCCTCGTCTTATGTGCTTTTGTTGGGTAAGCTCATTTGCCAAGTTATGCTAGCAACGTTTACTTTTTTGTGAAATAGGAGTCGACGCTAGAACTACTAACTGAATATACCGTGCGTGACCGATCTCATAAAATGTTAGCCAACATTCTGGAATGCGTTTCCAATTAGGAAGGATTTCTTAAGTGGGATTGTTATACTGACTATCATGCAGCATAACCCTATAACATTTTGGACTCGCCAGGATGTCGGCTTTTGAATGCTTTTTTTGACCTCCTGCAGAAACCACACTCGGTGAAAAATGACTACTTATGTAGCATGCATTTTTCCTATTGATTTTCGATGGTCTTATAGATACAAATATATTTTATAGAAAACACGCACAAAAATATGCCTTCTTTTGCTCAGTTGGAAGGAAATCAGATTGTCTTCATACTATATGCCTGAAGAAAGTGTATATTTCGGTTTTAAAAAGTTTTCGATTTTGAGATTTTTAAGACCGTGCAATGTCTATGCATGCAAGACCGCACATGTCCGTGTCCTAATGCTCCTCATGAAATGTACAAGACAGTTCGGATCCACTGCGAAATTTCCTGAACTCTATGTGGTATCTTCTTAAAGACGTAGAGGAATATATGCTTTTTCTTACGCAGAAAGCATGCGCCTTGTAGACTGAAATTTTTAAACGCTGATGCAATGGCAGATCAAGCTGAAAATTATTCGGGAATTTGGAAACTTTTTAAAACCGAAATATACACTTTCTTCAGGCATATAGTATGAAGACAATCTGATTTCCTTCCAACTGAGCAAAAGAAGGCATATTTTTGTGCGTGTTTTCTATAAAATATATTTGTATCTATAAGACCATCGAAAATCAATAGGAAAAATGCATGCTACATAAGTAGTCATTTTTCACCGAGTGTGGTTTCTGCAGGAGGTCAAAAAAAGCATTCAAAAGCCGACATCCTGGCGAGTCCAAACTGTTATAGGGTTATGCTGCATGATAGTCAGTATAACAATCCCACTTAAGAAATCCTTCCTAATTGGAAACGCATTCCAGAATGTTGGCTAACATTTCATGAGATCGGTCACGCACTGTAGTTCTTCACTTACGAGGAGCTTCCTAGTGTGTTTAGATTCTCTATCCTTGCTGATGAAAGACAATACAAATTCGTGTATCACGTCTTCATTAGGTGGAGTGGACAAAATGGGCTTAAAATGCATGTGGTAAAACGGCTAGGATCTTTGTTTTCGACAGTCTGTCCATGTAAACATTTCTTTCCCTTCAGAACTGGATGCCTGCGCCCTGAATCCTTGTAAACGCGGAAAGTGCATTCCCAATAATACCCACGGTTTCCGATGCGTCTGTTCGGCCGGATGGCGTGGAAAGTATTGTGAAGAAAGTGAGTAATTTCCATGACATGTCAAGTCTTTTCAACAAAATATATCGGTAGGCTTTCCCATGGAGCGTCACACTTCAGTCTCACTTTCGGGCCTTTTCCCTTAGACAAAGACAGACTTTAATCCCTGCCGTCGGATAAGCTAGCTTTGTCTGCTTGCTTAGAACAGCGAATGAAGTTTGACGCGCTGAGTGAGTTTTCCGGACAGATAATATAACATGTACCTTTTGTAGTCTAAAATGCTCTACTACTTTGAAGCAAAGTGCCCAAATTGGCACATACAGGCCGCCTGTACTGCCCGTACGGACATTTAGGAGGGATGGTTTCACATTCAAGTTCCACAGATAAGGCATCTGGATCAACAGCCCCAGCTGTTTCCTTCTTCCTTGATTCTTCAAACACCTGGAGCTCTGATACTCACTTCTGCATTTTAAATCCAATTCTGCATCCACGAGAATGATTATTTCGAATCCCGTCCTCAACGTACACGTTTTGAGGTCAACGACTGGCCCCTGGTTTCGGGCAAAAATAATGTCAAAAGGTACCTGCCCACTTTTGACGTAAAAGATGAGCTGGTGAGATATACGTGATGGTTTATACAGCTGTAGCTATTTGAAGAAGAAGAAGAAGAAGAAGGTGGGCTCACCGGAACAGGTTTATTAGGATGCTGACGTTTCGAAGAGCTTGGTCGGCTCTCCATTGTCAAAGCGTAAAATGCACTCAATCCACCAGAGATCCCAAGTGGCGTGTCACGTTGGGCGGCTTCCTGCCGGTCGATTTTTTTTTCTTTTCTCTCTCTCTCTCTCCTCTCGCTGCCGCGGCCTATCAGGGGATGGTTGGCTAGTGTTTTGTCTGCGTGCATTGTGAGTCACCATTCCGCCGGGGGGGAGGTGACTGAACCAGTGTCGGGTGGGCGGTCTGGCGGTTCTTCTTCTTCGCCGTCGGGCTGTCTCCGTATGGCCTCCTTAAGCCCGGTGTGGTTGTTTGGTCCTGAGCTCTACGATTGTGATGACGTAGGACTTTGTAGGCTGCAGGAAGGTCCAGATGCCTGTTTATGGAGTTGGCATCGGAGAACCACGCCTCAAGAGTTAGCCGTTCTGTCTTTGTGTTGCCCCGGCCCAAGATGGTAGTTCGCTGGAGATCGAAAGTATGCCTAGTTTCTCCAACGTTTGTTGCTAATTTGAATTTGGGTCCAACCTCCGAGTAGCTGATTTGTGTTCTTGTAGGCGAATCTGCAATTTCCGCCCGGTTTCTCCCACATAGTTGCAGTCGCCCTCTTTGCAATTTATTTTTTAGATAACTGCAGAGGTTTCGGCGGGTGACAAGGGGTCCTTAGGTTGCATCAGACGGCGTCGAATTGTTGCCTGTGGTCGGTGAGCTATGCCTACTCTGGCCGGTTGTAACAATCGAGAGACCGCCTCAGAGACCCCTTTAACGTAGGGAATGGTCCTCCATACTTCAGGTTGCTGCTCATTTGGCCGTCGTCTGTGCACCCGAAGTCTGCTTCTCTCGATAAAATGTCTGGGGTATCCATTGGCTGCAAATAGGTCCTGAAGATACATTCGTTCGGCTCTTTTATCTTCTGGCGTGCTGCAATGTGTTTGGACTCTTTGGAATAGAGTGCGGACACAGCTACGTTTGTGAGACAGAGGATAGTTGCTGTTGAAGTGTAGGATCTGTCTCGTGTCGGTGGATTTCCGGAATACTGCGGTTTGCAGTTGTCCAGTTGAACTCCGGAGCACAAGCACGTCGAGGAATGGCAGTTGGTTGTTCGTTTCTGCTTCCATCGTACATTGGATATCCGGGTCGACCGAGTTCAGTAGTTCCTTTAGGTGCTCAATGTCAGTAGTTTTGACAACGACGAAGGTGTCATCGACATAGCGAGCCCGGAACTTTGGTTGATACTTAGCGAACACCAAGTGTTCTATCCGTTGGAGAACTACTTCAGCGATTAGGCCTGATAGAGGGGAACCCATAGGAGTGCCTTTTATTTGTTCGTACATTTGTCCACCAAAGGTGAAATAGGTCTTGAGGCAGTAGCGCAGAAGCTCGAGCAGATGTTCAGACTTCAGGGGCTTGTCCCTCTCCTCATAGCGCTCTGCCAGTAGTTGGTCCACAACGTCTATCGCTAGTTGCTGTGGAATGGAGGTGAAGAGCGAAACGACATCAAAGGATACCATGGATTCGTCTGGCTGTTGTTACAATTATTGGGCACTTTTTAATTTCGCCAATGACTTAACAGAAATGGCCAGGATTCCTGCTGCATACAGAGTCTGGAAACAGTGTCTATATTTACAAAAGTCCCTTGATGACGGCTAACCAGCCTAATCCATGCCGAAAGGGTTTGAGGGCAACGCATCAGTAATCTCCATTAAGCCCCCAAAATAGCATAATAAGCTTGGGATTAGTGCGCCTCTGCTCGGGACAGTATTGGCGTTTGTTGCAACGCTCCAGCGTCAGCCCACAAGTATCTCTGGCCACATGTGTTGCTTTGATGACTCGAACGTCATCTACAATGGGAAAGAACATATCAGCTCTCAATCCCACCACCCCCTCCCCCAAAGAGGCACGTACGCATCGGTCATCTCTATCCAACGACTGAAAAAGTTTCTAATAAGTCAGAGGATGGCTGTGTACATGAAGCCCACCACAAAAAGCTTGGGATTAGTGCGTTCCTTCTCGGGATAGTATTGGCGCTTGTTGCAACGCTCCAGTGTCAGCTCACAAGTAGCTATGGTCACATGTATTGCTTTGATAACTCGAACGTCATCTACAATGGGAAAGAGCATGCTAGACCTCAACCCCACCACCTCCCCCCAAAGAGGCACGTACGCATCGATCGTCTCTGCCCAACGGTTGATTAAATACGACTGATAAAGTCTCCAATAAGTAAGAGGATGATTGTGTACATGAAGCTGGTAGGAATCTTTCCTGGAGCCCACCAAGTTCATGTAAATTGAAATCTTTTTCAATCTCTTATGCAGACCACGGAGATCCGAGGGAGGGAGAGGGGGGAGAGAAAGAGAGAGTATTTGCAAATACAACTGGTTCCTGATTGGCTAAACTTCTCTGAGCCCGAGTCCTGAGGCCAGTAACAAAGATCATTTCCATTCGTATGTATAATAACTTTCGTCCGTTTTGAACGAAAGAAAAATCAAACTGAGAAATGTCTGTTATGGTTTTTGCTGTCCACGGCGTACTGAAATCCTGTTTCAGGGCACAGTTGGCGTTTAGGAACTCCTTTTTAATCCTAATGGTACCCGGGTACATTTTGCACTTCACATTGACCTTTTTGATGACACTTGTGAAATCCTTAGACTGGCGTTCACATACCTATCAAGATTTCTCCTGAGTATCACATTTCTGTAAATCAGTCAGCCTGGCAACGGTAAAGTTTTGCAGATTTGAGGGCATTAAGTCTCGAAGAATGCCTTATCCAAGGGTAAAAGTGCAAAAAGTTGTTCATTGCGTAAACAACGGCGTAACCAGACCGAGAAATTTTAATGACCAGTCGTAGCGAAGCATAAAAAATAACATTCCAAAAAGCCACATTCTAAAAATTTTTTTAATGAACGGCTGAAGAGGAATTTCTTCACGTCCACCTCCTTCAGTTATGAACTTCCGGTTTTTAGAAACTTCATATGAACCGGGGAGGGACATGGCTTCAGCACTCCCTCCCTATCCCGTTGTTAGATCCGATGGGCAGACCCGACTTTGAATTTTGTCACGCTAGCTCGTGTCTGGTGTCGTCTCTACTCCAGAACTCTGTCGTAAGCAAAAAGAACCGATTAAATAAAAAAAAATAGACAATAGGCTGAAAGAGCCCAGTCCGTGAGTCGCATATGAGAAATGTGAGTGAAGACGGTGGCTTCCGAACGTTCATTATTTTGGTGTTATTCTTCTCCGAGCACACAGGTAGTCAAACTAACCAAGAAGCTGAGACGATGGAGGACAGAGACATTTTTGTTCTATTTCCCTCTCTTCCCCCCCCCCCCCTTCTGAGCGATAATGTCAGAGGGTGAGGTTGAGAGTGCACTCACAGACTGCATGCAAGTAACCCTCCTCCGACTGCATCTTGTAGACATTGACTTCTGTGACCAGAACAGATGCATGAACGGCGGCACCTGTCAGGATCTGGACGGTGAGGGCTTCCATTGCGAGTGTCCACCGGGATTTGAGGGTTCTGTCTGCCAACGACGCTCTGCCTGCAGTGAATCCCGATGCGTGCATGCAAGAGAATGCACCCGGATGGCGACTACCTCAAACGGAATCAAGCACGACTGTGTCTGCCAGGCAGGTTGGACGGGAGAGTTGTGTGACCACAGTAAGTGACTTCTTCTTGATGGTGTGGCTAACCTCCGGTCGGAAATCTAGGCCATCCGGTATCCTTTAGACCTAACTGCATAAATACCTCGTAGAGAATTCAATGTATTTGCTAATGGTCCCTTACCATATAAGAACTAATGGTTCGAGCGACAGCTAGAAGAGAGCTTCCTCCCCCCCGCTCTGCGTTCCACTATCAAAAATTCGATCACAGGCAGCTAGTACGAAGATTTTATCAAGTCATCCTTACCGACTGCTTTAAATTACCATCTCCTTGGCTCTACTGTGGATACTCCTTATGCTTAGATATACGAATAAATTATACGCGCTGCCCTTAATCTTTAGTAGGAGAAGCAGGTTCACAGAAACCTATGGGCAATGCTAGTAAGACCGCAGACATTCCTGGGTGCACATTATGAATATCGAAGTTGATAGTTTTGCGTTTATTTTGGGTTTGTTTGGTGCCAAAATGGATAGAAATGCAGCTCTAGAAAGGATAGCAAATTGCGTCTGTGAGAATTCCAAGGGTCGCTTTCAGCCTGTCAGTATGAAGCGCGCGATTTTGGTAGGTTTATTCCAGATTAATTAAGTTGCTGCCTTAAGAGGTCACGACATTTTCCGTTTGCTCATAGTCAATTACTTTTTCTCGTCACATACCGGCGTGCATACATGCATGCATAAAACTTTGATGACTACTCCAGCACCATTACTGAACTACTTGACAATAAGGATATTGATATTCTTGCTAACCTAATCGAATGAAAATACCAGAAAAAGGATCGATAGCATCACCTAATTATCAGTCAGCGTGAGACAGCCCTCCGAATGGTGGATAGCCATTCAAATGCGATGATTTCTGTATGATCAGGGAGGATCGCGAATTATCTTCAAACATACCCAATGCACTTTTTTCTCTTAAAGACCATCATTTAAAAGTACCGACTCGAAAAACGCTTGTTTTTTACAGGATGCCGGAATAATCGCACATTAAACATGTCCCTCTGCTTTTCTGATGACCAGTTCTATCCTTTGTCACTAGAAAAGTCTTTTTCTACTTTTAGACATTGACGACTGCACTGATAAGTGTAAAAATGGCGGACAATGCCGGGTAAGAGCAGATAAATTGCATTTTGTTCCGGACTTATGTTGCCTACATTTCAAACTGTTTTGAGCGGTAAATAACATAGCTGGTTTCTGCTTTCCGGCGCCCAATGGTGGCTATCGGCATTTCTATTTTAAATCATGATTCGAAAGCGGTCCATAGAGCGCATTTTAACATGCTTACAGTTCTGTTGACAGGTGTAAGAGGCGAGGGCTGTGAACCCCGTGAAATGGTCTGACGATGCCCTATATGGAGGATTAACTCGTCTTAACTAAGCAAAACTTGAAGCATTGATTGTGTTGTCGAAAACGAGTTTGTGATTGTATTTTGGATTCAACAATGCAGATCGACCTAATCCAGGCAAAGTCCACATAGTTTGCTAAATCATCAAACTTGGAAGCTTGACAACGTGCCTTCCAAATCCTTCCATTCACATGACTGACTTTGTCGACAGAAGAGAATAGGCGAGTTCCAGGGAACAGTTCAGAAGAAGATGAAGGGATTTCTGGGACAACTATACCGATCGGATGACGCTTCGGACGGACAGAACTGCTGGTCTTTGTCTACGTGTAAATTGCACGCTAAAAAGAAGACAGTTTTTTTCGTTTGCCTGCCGAATTGGGATGCACCTTTGCCTCTGTGTAAGCGCTCTAAGGCAGTCCGAACAGGCACTCCTTTTAAATTCTGAGTGTTAGACCGTACTGATAGCACCTATCCCAGGCACGCGTGTTTCCCTGGTCTTGTGTCACTACATGACGCAGCTGCGAGGCATTCGGCCCATTGGTGGGGTTTATAGACCAGAAGACACATGGGTGAGACACTAATGAACCGAAACCCCCTCAACTGCGTCATGCGGCGCCACAATGTCAGCAGAACACACGTGTCTGAGCCTTTAGCTGGTACCTATGCTGTCACTATGGTAAATCATTCAGTATTTTCATACTACTGGCCACCCGTTGGCTACTTGTAAATATTACGCGGTCATTCCACTGGACCTGACAGATTTCAGCCGAACTATCCATATCAATTATTGGACCGAGGCTGAAAGCGCTTGTCCCGAAGCATTCACTCCAAGTTTGTGCATTAACTTCTGAGGAAAGGCAGAAGGGTGGTCAATATTTATGTTTCAGTGTGAAGGCTAGGCTCTTCTCAGCACCCAGTGCCGACCGACTGGTCTTGTTTGAATCTGCCTGAAACAGCACGGCGACCACAGAGGATGCGTGTGGATGCAATTCTATGCAGTCCCCTATAATGCTTGTCAGTTTTCCGATACAGTAACAGGTCAAATTGTGTTAAAGAATTGTGCCTGAGATAAGTCAGTCAAAATTCACTCAATGTGCCTTTCAGCGGGCTGTACGGAAGCCCTAAGCGTCAAGAGACCTGAAAGTAGAGCTCGCATCAGGTGTTTTTCGAACGTCATTCGATCGCCAGGCTTAAAGTCAAAACTACATTTCGCACATTGCATCCCGCAACTAGGATACATTCCTGAATGCCACCACCGTATCTCGAAGGATGCTGGGTCGACAACCCAAAAATTGCCAAATCATAAGTTAGGGAAGACATATTAGGTTGGGCAAGTTTTGCTGACACTTGGAAGCGTACACGAGGCTCAGTAATGCGTTACAGCAAGTCATCTCACCTGACAGGTAACAGCCGAAGCGCATGCGCCTGAGCTTTGTGCGCCTACAATCAATGGGAAACAGCGACGAATGGCGCGGCCACGACAAAGAACTGACTGGGTGCGTGAGACGGGCA